GGGGGGGCAATGTTGGCGCCAAACCCAGCTGCTGACACGCCCGCAGCGAACAACACTGTACGCAGCCACGCCCATTGCTCTCATGAATATTTAGTGTAGCTTTGGCGCATCAGCTTTTCACACAACTTCTGCTGATACGCTCCTTCACTATTTGAACGAACGAATCTCACCGTTAGTCCGAGTAGACCTGTTTTCCGTACTCCTAGACGACGTTCGAAGAATGCATATGAAAGTGCACCGAAAATCCCCATTGCTGATCCATAGGATCTGAAGGAAGAGTTCAGTTAAGAACGAAAAAAAAGAGACACGCGCATGTTACTGCCATCCTTGGAGGTAAGTGTACAGTTTGTCCTTGAAAGAGTTCGAAGAGTTCGCCAGAGGTTCCCAGGGTTCTGCAAGGAAAACCAGATAAGCGTCACCCACCTAAATGCGCCAAGCACATAATCCGGCAGGCCAGCTGATTGTCCATATCCCACAGCTAGCTAAAAAATGTGGACCAATAAACTTGTAATTGAAGAAAAAATTATGATAATAGCGTACACCATCGAATCCCATCACAGTCATGAACAGTAGTGCCATGCCGAACGCTGCGGCAATCACTGTTTGACGGACGTACGTCCGCAGAACGTCTGGAATGCTCTCAAGCACTGCGGCAACTCTCGAACTGATCGACTTTATCTCTGAAAACTGTATTAGACTGATCTGTGATGCTGTGGTCTAAACGCTCTGATGATACTAATGTGCTACGACGGGTGGCGAGGGGGGTTTGGGTATGTAGACAGGCTCAATCGTGATTCGCCGCCAGATATAAGTTGAAGCCTTCGGTGTCTAGACCCCTTTCCGCCTTTGACTATGTATATGGGCGTGCGGGCGACAAAATCATATACAGGGGGGGGCCAAAAAAAAGTCATTCCGGCCGAGTCACATATGAGCGAAGTTTTCGCAGCCCAGATGAGTACCAGGGCGGAAGATACCCAAGATCTTCCTCTATAAGCAGGAGCCGGCTGCCGCCATTCACCTTCATGTACACCAAAATATGAAGTCATCTCCAGTCGCGGCCTGAGTGGAGAACGCCTTTGGAATTCACGTGGCCTCCAAACAGCTGCGGAACTTCTTGAATGGAATCACTCCATGGATAGCCTACATGGAATCACCCATGGATAGCTACCTGGAGACCAGTACTCTTGATCTGCAAGACCTCAAAACATCGAGCAGCTCCGGCAACGTCGCTACGGTCCAGGACATCATCTTCACCCCATTCACCAAGGCGCGGGTTGATGGTGTGGACCGGCCGTACCTGGAATGGGAAGACCGATATTTTCTTTGTAGACCCCGACTGAAGGTGAGCGCTGGCGGTTACATCAAGTAACTCGAGAAGGATATCCTCCCTACATGTGGTCGCCCGTACCTTCTTGGAGACCTTGTGCTGCTACAGGTTTGGGTGCCACCACATGGAATCGAAGGGTTTTGGAAAAACTCCCGCCTACTTCGAATGGAAGGGCGTTTCGTACCTGATGAAGATGTAATATTGAAATATGTCCCCTGACCTGAACCCACTCAATTACCTAGTTCGGGCGGAGCTCAACAGGGTGGTCTACAGTGGCGGAGAAATCAACGATCTCGCTCAACTCCGGTACCCACTCACTTTCGCGCGGCCGAATCTCTCGATGGCGCTCCTCCAGAAGGCTGTGGCGGAGTATCGTTATAGTATTTAATGTGCTCTTTAATATGGTAGTAAAAATGTCCGATAAAAATTTAATAAAGTGTAACTTATAGCGCCTTGAAAGTCATGGAGGCAAAATGACTTTTTTTTGCCCCCCCCCCCTGTATAGGGGATGGGAGGGGGCAACGGACGTGTGTTTCTAATTGGCTAGCAGCTGGTTGCCTCCCCCGTGAAAACCGAAGAACCGGATAGAGAACGTAATCAAGTAACCTTTAGCTTTTTCATTTGTCTCCTTCCGATCCTTATGAGCGAGTTTTGGCTTTCGTACATACAACGCTCTTAAGAAGAACGATTTTGATGCCATTGATACTAAACTAAATCCACCGAAAATAGCGCAGGTGACACGGAGATTCCATGCTGTTACAAGGACCTGAAATTATGGAACATAAAAGAAGTACTGCCGAAGCCGGCAGAATTCTTCCGGCTCCCTCTGGCTCTGAGGTTTCTGGTCTATGAGAGATCCGCTGAGAATCGGTGATGACTTCACGTTCATTCAGCTTAAGACAAGCTCGCGCTGGTCGTATGGGTGGAGCAGGGCTCGCTGAACCTAGAATCGATCACTCAACTACTTACAATTAGGGGCATATTCCACGCTGGTGATGTGGGCGGGATTGGCTATGCCGTACTGCCTTATCGATTCGTATACCAGCCTCCCAAAAAGACCACTAGCATCAACTGTTTTTTCAAATAGCAGCTCGATGTGCTCACAACTATTACTTACTCAGTTTGATTGGGAGGGACAGGGAGAGGGGGGAAGGGGGGAAGAGGGGGGAAAGGGATCCCCCCTTTGGTATGGTTTAAAACAGCCGATTTTTGTTTTTTTGAGATACGCCATTTTTTTGAAAAAAATGTTGCAGTCTCGTTTCTATGACTAGCTGTATAACTTCTTCTCATATTGAATCTCAGGAGCACAGAATTACTGTAATGCAGCCGCACCCCGGTGATGATCGGTGAAATCACGTTTGTCAGCTGATCCAGTGCTGTTAGCGTGGCGTTGAGACCTGAAAACGTTGCTGTTTTCCCGAGAAAGAATGGGCGAATACCCCCAAAAATAAGGAAAAAAAAGTGGGGAAAAATATGGCCCAAGAACAATTTCACAGAGGCCCAAAATTTTGAGGGTGTGAAAAAATAGAAGGCCATAGAAAAAGTGGAAAAATCAACGGAAAGTCAAAACGGTAGTAATTCCAATATGCAACTCTTCCAAGGGGTCTATTTGAAGAGATAACTCACTTGACAGGGTGTCCCCCTCACTGAGCACTACGACCCAGTCGCGCGAGACAAGAAACTTCTCGGCGTTCAGGAAAAGACGATTTACTGCGCAGACGAGGATTCCTAAGATGAGAAACACAGTAAACCACGGTGAGGACGTCTCCAGAGATAGGCATGCTGAAAAAGGTACCGTGAACTTGTGTTTGTACTCGGGGCCGATGTACAGGGTAGTTTCCATTATCAGTCATTCAGAAAAAATCTTGAGACGAATAAATAGTTAATATTTATAGGAGAAAATGAACAAAAGATGAGCAAGCTGGAAGTTCGGCAAAAGTCAGTTTTCCTGAGAAAAGGTAGTGATTTTGAAGTTGCTTCATTATGATAACTGTTTGTCAACGCTGCAGTTCGCGTTCCGAAAGTTATCACAAGAATGCTGAGTTATGGGCAAAAGTCTTCACCCCAGATGGGACTCGAACCTGCACTTCAAGCTTTCTGGGCTTTCCTTTCATATACTAGAGGAACGGTCCGCAACAAACTGAGGCTTGAGCCTCTCAAAACAAACTTGCACTCACACTTGAGGACATTCCTTTCCATGTGCGAGGCTCATTGGTCTGCAACTCAATCCTCTCAAAAAGGCATGAGAAAGGAGCCGAAGAATGGCAGGAAAGAGCGAAAAGAATGGGTAATATCTGGTACCGAGCTCCGGCCTCACGCTTACACCAGATACCTCTCCTCGCGTCGATACAAACATCGAAGACCTGAGTAAGAGGTAAGAACCACTCCAGGGCACAGCATTGGTTGGGGATTCCCTATGGGGGGGTCGTATTTGGCCGCCAAAAGGGGGGTCGTATTTGGGCTGGGAAAAATTTATTTTTATAGTTGATTTTTCTCGCTTTGCGGACGTTTTGGAGGGGGGGGGGTCGTATTTGGTCGTTGTTGGGAGGGGGGGGTCGTACCAGCCCCTGAAAAAAAGGTGGGGGGGGGGGTCGTAAAAGCCTCGAACCAAAAATCCCCATCGAATTGCTGTCCCTGGAACCCCCATCAGCTGAGAGAGGGGTGCAAGCAAGTAGCCGCCATGGTACTGCGCGCTGGTTAGTTTCGATGGCGGCGGCGCGAGAGAGTCGCGACGCAAGACATCTGGTACCACTACCTCCGGTCCGTTTGTGTGAACTCTTGTCTGAAGAAAGTGGCACGCTACTGCAACTGCGGACCCATTTCCCTTGCCACAAAGACCATCAACAGGGATATGTGTAGGGTTTTAATTTAAAACCAGCTAGAATACTGCCTTTCTGCATCAAACATCATTTACGACATGCGATCGCTAGAAACTCCTGCAATTTTGCACGGAGATAAAATCGGAACAACTTGAAAAAGAACTTGATAAAGATTATCAAACTATGGGCAGAAGGTTGACCCCACCAAAAGAAACCAAACAGTGATAAAAAATAGTCTTATCGAACGCAATAAGTATGACTGACCAATGAACATTGCAGCAGCCAACACGATGCTCAGATTATTCACAGGAATGACGGACATGATTGCTGAAATCTGTCAAAATTAAGTAGAAAAGGAAAAACTGTTTGGCTTGGTAGGCCTTTTGTATTTTCCGCACGTTCTTTCAGTTCATGATAGTTACGAGGTCTCATTCTGGTGAAACCTACGGACTCTGTGAAGCAGTAGAATAGTAAAAATGAGCTGAGCAACCTTGATTACAAGAATTTACATGTTCTCAAGGAGGTCTGTGCAGGCTTTGCTGCGTACCAGTCATTGCCCCCCAAAGCCGAACTGCGCCAAATTTTCTTGAAGGATGATTTAACAGTATGCCACTTTTTTATAATCCATCAGTATTTCTCCTATTTTTTCTATGGCTCGTGAAAAATATGGGTGTGAGGGCGAAATGGCTAATGCCGTTTGGACTCCAGCAATTTCGGCACCGAGCTCATTTTTAAATTGCCTAAGTCACCAAACCCGCTGAAAACATGTACACAAGGGTTATTTACCATCGTGATTACAATTATGACACTCATTCTTGGCGCTGGCGCCAAGGGATGACACTACGATTACCTCTTGGGCTCAGCCTTAGCGGAGCGCAGATAATCGTAGTGTCATCCATTAGCGCCAGCGGCAAGAGTGAATGTCACATTCGTAATCAGGATGTTAAACTACCCCTAAATACAAGTTTTTAGCGGATTTGGTGACTTAGGCAATTTAAAAATGAGTTCGGTGCCGAAATTCTGTTTAGGTCAAAGGACTTAGCCCTGCGAATGTGCTAAAGAGAAACTGGGTGTCTAATAAATTTCTTGTGCTTTTTAGGTTCGTGAAATCGAGTTTGGTTTAGTGGTTTCCGTTTCTGAAGGGGAGATGTGGCAACAGGGTGCGGTCTGTCGCTGAGAAGAATCTTGCTACTCTCTCCTCTCCCCTCCTTCCGAGTCTGTCCTCTGGTATGACCCGCCTCCACCACGGACTAACCATGTTATCAAACTTTCCCAGAATTGTCAATGAGGCGAAGAGGGGACTGTGATTAAGAAATAGTTTATTTTGATGAGCGCGTGTAACAACGCCGTGTTTAACCGAGAAAATCTTTACAATCAGCAGAAATAAGTAAACTTTCACGGCCACTCTCCTTCGTTCTTACAAAATACGGACCCTCGCACCTGAGGCATCCCCACGTTTCGACGTGCATTGTATTGGCAATGCGTTACGCAGATTTCCGGTCATAAGCTGAAGGTTTTTATCTGGCTATCAGTTGTCCAGGACGTCAACATCGAAATGGGTTTTAACAAGGTCACTTCATACGATTTTTTACAGCATTAACGATTTGTAATGCAGCAGATCGATGTGAGTCAGGGCGGCTGGTGCGTACTCATGGCCGAGTGATCGGCATTTTCGAAGACTCAGCGCTCTTTCAGAGACCTAATTCTTCCTCGTCAATTAATGCGGCATAGCGTCCTCGCTTGGAAGGTAAAAAATCTGAATCACTATAGCGCCTTCAATAAAAAATAGGTCTTTGCAGGAGAAAAGAATAGCGTCTGGAAAAGTCGAGCAATCTGAAATGGAAGCGAATGCTCGGCGTATACTAGGAAAGTGACTGTGTCAATAATACGAAGAATTTTTTATTTTATCGCGTGGATACGTCTCAAAAAAGGCTGATAGGGAACAACCTTGCCTGTTTTCCTGCTGATTCGGTCGAAAACTCGTCCCAAGTGTCCACTGAGGATCATTTGTCCTATTCCTTCAGCAAACTGTTCAATCGATACCATTCGCATACCACCAAGTGCTTGCATACATAATGAAACACAAAATGACCATGCTCGATCCTCCTGTAAATAACTTAGTAATTTTTTAATTTTGGACCGAAGTTCGCGAGGCGTTCACGCGTTAACGCGGCCCTTTTGCTATGCAATTCTGACGTGGCACACCATGTGCGTCATGCGGCCACACAGAGGTTTCTGTCAGACCTTTTTTGATTGGGATTTAGCTCTGAAATTCGTACTTGGGAGTTAATTCATGCGCCAATCACGAATATGAGCTTCATTTTTGGCGTTAACGTCATGGGTCCACAGCTTAAAATAACCTTTTTTTGGATTTTGTCCAGCAGCTCAGATATGCTGAATTTCAAAATATTCAGGATATAGGTGACCATAAGACCAATATACAGTCTTGTTCGCTGTTGACGCCGGGTCGTTCCGGGGTTTGGCTGAGTTTAGCGCGACGCCAGCCCTTTTCCCACACCGAAGCAGTCAAGCGACTCAAATTGGTGTAAAACGACTGATACGAACGATATGATACAGTCTTGTCGCTTGCCGAAGGAAACAAAAGTAGAAAGAAAGGGATGGCCCCACCTCCAGTTCACACCTCCCCCTTCTACACGCCCAAGCGTCTGCAGTGAACTAGATTGTAAGTACATATTTCATGACGTCACTGACGTGAGAAGAGGGGAAAGCTTCCGGATATGCTTCCGGATGAACTGCTTTTTGCGGGATGTGGAATTAACTTTTTGCCCCAAAAAGAACATTCATACTTCGGTCACCTACATATGCCGCAGGTCCTTCCCCTGGACTGCAGCAAAAATCATCATCCCGCGCTAAATGCCATCCTGAAAAAAATAGGAGAAATTGAAAGTGGTCGTGATACCCGAGTTCCTGCCAGTTTTGAGGTCATAAGGCCTTATGCGATGTCGTGACATGTCAGAACTTCAACTTTGAACGGCGTACCTATACTGGACTAGCGTTTCTGAATATTTTTATTTAATTATTTCATTCAAAAGGAGCATATAAACAAAATAAAAAGGAAAAGTCATTCGAGAAAGGACACTGAGCGGCGTTCAGCTCGTGGGTGTCCAGATGAGACACTGACGGTAATTCTCGTCAATGCCTCATCTGGACACCTTCAAATTCCTGTCAAGCTATGCAATAGCACAAGCTTCGTTTGCACTTGGCAACAGTCTACAGCTCTTACAAGATGAGACATGCGATTCAACAGGGACTAATATGAGAAGTAAGTAGAAGTGCAAAATGCCCCTCCCTAGTCAAAAAGGGCTACAAACTGCTTCGTATAACAAATTGGTATTTCTGTAGGTTCTCAGTCACTTACCATACATGTTGAAAAATAAGCTGCGTAGAGAAGTAGATTCGATTTGGACCTTACTGTCAGACAACGCATTCACAGAACCGTAGGTTCCACTGCCACCGACGCGGCTTATCACCATCACTGATTGTAAAACGGGGAAAAAACCGAAAAGCCTCTTGTTTCTGGTTGTATCATACACTCGGCGACATAATCTTCGATCACAAATCAACCATGAGGGTTCGCACAAATAGAGCAAGTGTTCTGGCAGAAATCGGACCCAGTACACAGCTGTTACTGGTCCGCCACGGGACGGGTTGCCTGGGGGGAGATAATGGACGACTTTCAAGTCCTTGAAATTTGAAGCTACTAGTTGCGACCAGCTACATACAAGGTGTACTGGCAAGTTGCACGATTACTACATGCGTGGTCTGCAGGCTAAGCCCAATCGGCTTCGCCCAGTCCAACCAAGCATCCTATCCTCCGGAGGCAATAAACTGGTACTGAATCCATTTGGGAGGTAGAAGCACTTACTTCTACATCAGCTCTCCCCCGCAAGTCACTGTATAGGCGACATCGCATTCAGTAAGCCAGGACGATCCTGAATGGAAGACGAATGCTTATGTCACCCCAAAAATTGATCGACCAACGACGAGGACTGTATCCCGGCCTCAGTTTGACGATGGGGGGGACGGCAATTGTCGTACCATGCATCGCTTGCCTCAGTGTGTCTCACTCTAGGCCAAAAACCTGTGAAATACTTGTGAAGCTGGAACAAAGTAGTCAGGCCATGGTCAAAACCTGTCAACTCGAGAAGAGGGTGGCTCTAGATAGGTCGACACGTCGATGGGAAGTAGCACTGAGTGCAAAAAATGGCTTCCATCCCCCACTCGTCAAAACTGCGCCCGTGTCCCTTACCCTATTATGGCGTCCACCGGTTGTGCATGGACGTAAGCACGAAAACGACAAAACATTTCTTTCTATTGCAATTTTGGCAAAACACACAAGTTTTTGCTCAAATGAAATCACGAACTTCACCTAAACCATGTAGGTGCCATAAGGAAAAGGGAGGGGCATCCCACACTTCCGTTATTCTTTTATGCCTACTTCTTTTGCTAGTTCCTGTCAACTAATAGGATCCTCAAAAGAAATAACAGTGAGACCTGTAAGCTTTCGCAGTAGCTAAATGGTGCAAGAAGTACCTTTGGTTCACCAGAATTCACAGGTCTCCACAAGGTGGCGTATACAAGCTTCGCTTTGCTTTGTACCCCCACACACCCCACTTTACGCTGCGAAATCACCCACTTCACCCAACACGGAGGTTTAGACAAAAATCTTCTTTGGAACATTGAGAGGGCTCTTCAAGGTAGAAGGATATCTCATTCACCAGGTTCTTTCCCTAATTTGCTGCACTGAATATCCTCCAAGAAAAAAACGATAATATGGCCTGCACATGTAACCAGTAACATTCCTTAGCTTTCAGGAGTTTGCAACATTTCACGATTTCAAACGGCACAGCTGACATCGTCACAATCAGTAAGGTAGTGTCTGGTGAGACGGAATGATTTGTCCCATCTTCCTTTTCTACCAAATCTGTGGGTTGGTGATGGATGTTGAAAGAAAATAACCCGCTGTGGAAACGCCGCTGGGCTCTCCCTTGAATGCCCCTTGGCACCGCCCCGACTGTTTGCGACGATATTGACTGCATGTTGACAGGCGTTTGTGAAGTCCCCCTCCCCTTTGTGGAGTTTCAACAAGAGAAGGCAAAATGTTCCCTCTTGCCTCAGAGACAAAGTCTTGACTGACTCATGAAGACAATTCTCAATATGTAGGAGATAGAAGTTAGTCTGCAACAATTCGACTGAGTGATAGTGCAGTTGCAGGAGTGAAACGGGAATTTTTTGTATTCTAATCTCATTTCGTTGAGCTGGTTCAACATTTGCATGCGTTCTCACTATATGACGTTCCAGATTATACCACCAGTTTTTTTTTGATTTTTGAACCCGCAACCTTTAACCTTCAAGAAATAATGAAAAACAATGACTGGACTAACATTCTAAAAAAAACAATGAGCCGTTTCGCCCCTTACCCAGACAAAGCATCATTATTTCGCCGAAGGCCAGTTGACTTGATCT